GCATGCCATTCCGTCTTCAGGCAGTTTAGACCACCAGAAAGTTGTTACCTATTTTCGAGTCTAAGTCAGTGTCCCCAGAACTTCCCTGTAACCCAGCCTTTAGTCACAATTCAAATTCTGAGAGCCATAGAGAACAATCCCTTTTTCATCTGATGACTCTTCTGATATCCCTAGTGTATTAGTCAGGGTCCAATTAGGAGACAGAAACCACATAGTAATTGAAACAAGAAAAGTTTAATACAAAAATTATTAACTAGTAACAGGAGATCTTTACTAAGGAGGAAAAAAAGAACATTCTACAGATTACAGGAAACAAATTTGGGTCAGTCCCTTCTCCCACCTGTAGCCCAAATCCAGAAATTGTTGGAGATGTGTCCTGTGGCCCATTGGATGCTAAGTCTGCTGAGATGCCATAGACCAAGGCTGGCAAGCAGAAATCTACCGTCCCTCTGTGATCCCCACAAAACTCCACAGGAAGCCTCTCAGGAGGGGGCAGCACACTTGCTGGGAAGCTGCCTGGGCTTCTGTACTTGTCTCTGAGAAGCCAGCCATGGAAAGAACGTCAGCTAAATTGCTAGTGGGCATAGCTGCAGAACACGCCAGGAAGCTGTCCCCAGCTGTACCACTGACACTCACTAATGACAAGTGCCACTGGCTAGCCACACCCTGGCCAAGTACCAGAGGAGCAGGCAATAAAGAAGGCGAACCAGAACCTGAACGGAAAGTCCTTCCAGCACTCTCTACTGCAAACCTGCAGAAACATCCCAGCATCACAACAGGGGCAACAAAGGGTGGACTTGAAGTCGAGAGGCAATAAACTAATACGTGGCACTCTTTAATTTCTTTAAGCATCCTATAAACCCTGGATTCAGGTATCTGTACTCTTCTGACTATTCCTTCCAGATTATTTTTCAGTTCATTAGTACTTCTTTTTTTTTTTTTTTAAAGTAATTTTACTGAAAGTTTAGAGAGACTGGATTTCCATTCATTCATTATTGCAATTTTTTCCCCTGCCCAAGCTCCACCCCCAGTTGGCTCTTCTCTTTGAAAAGTAAAAGTTCTTTCATTGTTATACAGTCCCTCCCCTCAAGTCCCCTCCACTGTGCAGTCCTTGTTCTGGACGCCCGTCATAACACCAATACCCAATCATACTTCTTTTATCATAGTTCCTGGGTTTGAACCTAAAGCCTAGCACAGCAGGTTCTCATAAGGTGGTCCAGGCGTCCAGACACTCTTTCAGTGGATTTGCAAGATCAAAACAGTTTACATACTGTTACTAAGCATTGTTTTTCCCTATCCATCTTGATTTTATTAATTTTATTTTGTGATTTTCATGAAAGTTTATAAAGCAAATTGATTTTCCATTCAACTCTTCGTACACATTTTGTTTGATGACATGAATTACAGTTCCCATTATCTAAAGACTTCGTCCCACTTCTTCCTTGTGGTTCTTATTTCCATGAATCCTTTGGTGTTATCCCTTCCTGCATTCTAAGCTCTGTCTCTGAACAGGTGCTTCCCTTTTGATCTTATGTGCTTGATTGTTTTAGGGAGTGCGTATAAGCCTGCCTGTTGTTTGAGTTGTGGTGATAGAGAAGAGCACCGGATACCACACGCATTGTCCAAATAACAACCAGATAACGTCTTGGGAAAAGTGCAGCCAGAATACACCTAAGAGCATAGGATGGGGAAGCTTCATTCCACATAATTTGGGCATATTGTTAAGAGGTGCTGTGCCTTGGAAATGGACATCATGCTTGGAAAGGTAGAGAATCCCCAAAAGAGAGGTAGCCTCTCCATGAACTGGGCTGACACAGTAACTGTAGCAGCTGTCTCAAGTAAGTCAGAGATGATGGAGATGCCACAGGACAGGCTTCCGAGCGGTTGTTCGTAGGGTCACTAGAAATGGTACTCAACTCAATGGTACCTAACAATAACAACAACAACAATTATTTGTCTGAGAGTTGAGCCATGGGGTAAGGTATTCCATGTCCACCAGTCTATTCCAGCAGACCCACAAACCTCGCCATTTTCATGTTCTTTAATTTTGCCCCATTTTCGACCCACTCTGTCTAGGCCCTTCTCCTGTGATCCCTTTTTGAGTGGCCAGCAGTGGAGGCCAGTCACCAACTAGCCCTTCTGGTCTCTGGGTCATGGACGTTGAAGCTCCTTAGTTTTATGGTCTGTTCTTCTCCTGGACTAAGCCTCCCTGCTTTCCTTTCCCCTTCTCTATTCTGGACAGGGACTGACCAGTAGCCAAACTGTAGGTGGATGCCCACGAGCTTTCAAGACCACACTTGCTTCTCATCAAAGTATGATACAGAGCATTGTCATTGTGATATGCCATGTGACCTTTGATCTCTGAGTCAATGGTCCCAGCAGCACGTTCCATCAGGAAGTTTGGTTATGATTAAGAAGTTTAACTTTGCCCCATTTTGGCATTGCTACAGATACTGCTATGCCTACAGCATATACTAGTATGAGCATATACATATCATCTCCTAAGCCTATATGTAGTCATAGCTGTGGTCCCTTTACCAGGCCATATCTGTTTGTTTTGACTAGCTGCCTATATATCTACTTGTACATTCATGTTTATGATTGTTAAGAGTAGAATATTGAATATATGATAGTGTTTCTCTTTGTTTTATTTCTTGTGCCTTCCCCCCTCTTTTATCTCCTGAATGGACGGTGGAGTTTTCCAAAGGCTACATGACAGAGTATGATCTCGTTACACTGATAGCCAATGGAATATATGCTTGTACATTTCTTGTGTTGTAGAAAATTTTACCCATTTTAGTTTCTAATACAGTAAATATAGATACAAAAACAAAATATCTTTGTGATTCTCAAGCATTTATGAGGCTAAATGGAGACTGAGATTAAAAAAAAAGAAAACAACACTGGAGGGCTGCTGGCCTCTTCATTCTAGATATTCTGACTCGTGCTTTACAAGCTTTTGGGGACAATGTCTTTATAACACGCATTTTATTTAGAGTGACTGGGAAGCAAGCAAAAAGGCTGCCTGCGAGAGAAAGTTATTGAACCTTCACAACTTTGTTCTTGATAAAAAGAAATATGGAATTTTCCAGTTACAGTGGGAAGTGAGGTCGTGTTTGACCTTTGATGATAAACAGACAGAAGGTCAACTACTAGCCTTATCATTTATTTGTTGTGGGATGTTGGATGTTACTTAGCCTGTCCAGATTTTGTAGATACTACTTTGTAAATACTTTCTGCCACTTAGAATTATCAGTCAGTTTAGAGGCATTGTGCTTATAAAGTATCTGCATTGGACAATTTGCTTAATAGAGATTCCTTTCTCTCTCTGCTGAGAAGAACTTGCCTACGATCCTGACAGTATAGACTTTAGGTCTCTAGTTTCCATTTCCATCCATTTGTTGATAATGTAATTCTGGGTCAGCTGTCACTAACTATTGTTGCTGATTAAAAGGCAGTGGCTTACAGGATCATTTCTTAGCTCCTCAGTACAGCCTTGCCCTAGACGTAGATCTATAGGAGCTAACCACTTTTTAAGGCTCTGTGCCATGGACTTTGTGAAGACTGTGAATGTATTTCTGAACCACAGGGCCTCTCACTTGCACAAGCCTTTCCAAGACTCTGGGAGGAGTCAACCTAGCAATGGTTGTATGAGTAGATTATAAAATATGCAGAAGTAAGATATTCTATCTGTGTCGGCTACAACAGCGTCTTTTTCTCGTCTCTCAGTTGTACTTGCCCTGGCAGATATGGTGACTTTGGAGAGGTCATGGGTGTTTGGGAGCTTGAAGACTTGAAGATATCAGCTCTCCCCATAATTATGTGTGTGTGTGTGTATGCATACACAATACTATGATGGTTATCTTTCTTGTTCTCATTCAGCAAAAGCTGTATGAAGAGCTTACTGCCCCTTTTGCAAAACCCCGAGGTCTGTGGAGATGAAGTTTATAGCAAAGGCGTATTCATTTCATGCTATGCTAACCGCAGCTTTCCCAAATGGAGAACCTGGTTGCGTAGCTTCAGTCATCATCACAAAGTAGAATGGGGGAAAGGTAAAGCAATTCATGGGTTGGTGTTTCCTTCATATACTAGAAAATTCCACATAATTGGGCCTAGAAATTCTATATTTATTCTGTAAATGGGTCATGATGAGAAATAAACTCAGTGAATCAGGGAGAAGGAACTGGGAGAGGCTTAATGCACTAGGTTGAACAGCAGCACTTAGTCGGTGAAGCATACGCTTGTGAGGGGCAGAGTTAAACAGCACTCAAGCTGCTTGTCCTTCCATTGTGGGGATGGGCACCCCAGGGCAGACTTTCGACACCAAAAACAACCGAAGAACCTGTTGCTTTTTAATGGATTCTGGCTCATGACAACACCATGTGCTTTAGAGTAGCACTGAGCTCCAGAGTGTTTTATTGGCTGTGGTCTTTATGGAAGTGGATTGCCAGGCGTTTTTTCTGCAGCACCACTGCATGGATTCAAACTGCTGGCTGTTCGTTTGCAGTCAAGTGAAAGCTATTTGTACCACCCAGGGACCAGTGGGTTGTTTTCCGAGGAGAGCTACAGACAAGTGTTGAGCTGGGGCGTACTTATCTAAAAGTATTTTCAGAGAGAGTAGAATTCCAGTAGCAAAACCATGGTCCTAAAAATGTACCAACTCCAGTTCGTGCCCTCTTGCTGTGAATATGGTCAAGTCATTTTGCTTCTCTGCTTCTCAGTTATGAATTATAGCCAATTTGCTCATCCTGGTTAAGACACTGTTAGTGTCTTAACAGTAGTGGCCTGGTAAGAATTTAAAGGCGAGAGATACTACACTGTACAGGCTATTTTAAAGTGCACTGTTAAGAATGTTCCCAGTTCAGAATGTTCCGTTGGATTTGCCGAGAGCCAGTGAGAGAAATTATTAACATTCCTTTTTCTCATTTGTGATATGATGCTTTCACCACTTTGAGCTCCTCACTTCAGTGAACACAGTAAATACCTTTGTTCTTTTCCAGATTCTCTCTGGCCCAAAATCAGAGTGCCATTAAAAGTTGTGAGGACAGCTGAGAACAAGTTGAGTAACCGTTTCTTCCCTTACAATGAGATTGAGACCGAGGCTGTTCTGGCCATCGATGATGACATCATTATGCTGACCTCTGATGAGCTGCAATTTGGTTATGAGGTAAGATTTTTAAGCCGTATATTTATACATTTAATATTTATAGCTTGTCTTGTCTTAAAGAAAGTGGTGTCATTCCTTCTGTAATGCAGTTAATCTGTGACCTCTGCGGTAGAATCCGAAAGCTGTACATGGGAGTGTGGGTTTTGAAGTCTTTCTGTAAAAGTTTGGGGAACCTAGATTCCAAAGTGAACACTGTGTCCACCACTAGTTTGGGGAACTCCCACGGAGAGTCCCAGGGGACGTTTTCAAAAGCTCCTCTACAGCATTTAACAAGCACTTAATTGATGTTCCCTTGAGTAGCACTTCCCTTGACTCAAGCCCTGGGCACCGCAACAATAAAAACCTCAATAAACGAAGAAGCTGGCGACACAGACAAACGGAAAGCAGACCTTGCTGACGGCCCTCTCTCTGAGTTTTAAGTGGAGAGGCTGGCTGCCTGTCTTTAGGGAGAAACATTCTATATCACTGTTCATTCAGTGTGGCTGATGGATTAGGCTGGGTTCAGGGGTTAAGTATGGAGACCAGTAAAGGTCTCCCCAGGGGAAAGTGCCAGAGCCGAGGCCTGGTGAAAAGCAATCAGAATTGATGAGCCCTGTCAGGGAGGATGTGCGTGAGATGCAGGATGGCGACAGGCAGAGGCCGTGGCTGCCGAGGGAGAAGGGTGGTGTGAGACCCAAGCAAAACAGAATGTGTAAATCAGTTTGCTCCAGCTGGGCACTGGGGAGAGTGGTGACATTTATCCCCCGCAGTCGCCTTGCCTGTGGGAGAGAGGTAGCTGTCTACTTTAGTTGGCTCACGATTTGTAGGTTTTCAGCTTCGTAAGAAATCATGCAATTTTATGAAATGAAGTTATAGTGGAAACACATATTTATTATAGAAATTTGCTTTTTAAGTCCTTAACAATGGATCTTTAAGGAAAAGAAATAGGGCTTCCTACCTACCACCGCAAAAGTAAAGAACCCTTAGATCCCACTTAAGTATTAAAGAAATTCTAATGAAATCGGCTGTTGTGTGATACTGATCTGTATAGCTGCTGGCCAGTGAAAGGCTAAGAATGGTTGATAAAACAATAATATATTCTCTCTCTCTCTCTCCCCTTGTTTATTTATTGGCAATGACTTTTATATCAGCACATCCAAGGCGTTGAACAATTTTCAGAATACTACTATTCCCATTTTTCTTTCTTCCTGTTTTTCCCCTTTTGTGGTAAATACATAGCTAACAAATCATTTTCACTTCAACAGTCTTCACATTGTGTTATTGTTGTTGTTGATTGCCATCAAGTCAAGCACAACTCATAGCAACCCTATGAACAATATGTTTATTTTATTCAGTTATCAACATTTTGCAATTTTCCCATCACCCTCCTCACATTTATGTTTTAGCAGATCACCTACTTATTTCTCTAACCAGGTCACTGCAGAAGGAAGAGGAAAATTTTTAAAATCCTGGCAGTGTTTTCTTTCTTTCTTGCATAATGGCTCCAAACCATCAGTTTGTTTATTTTTGTGGCAGAAAAAAGATGGTAAAAGGGAAAGTTCAGAACAATGTAGCTGCAGTATCTTCAGTCAGTTTAAAGGAAGTGAAAATAAAAGGGGAGAAAAATGGACTAAGAGTTTTTCTAGGATATCCTTCCATGTTAGTGATAAATTCCATGTTAGTGAAAGGAAGGGCAAGGCTTGGAGGGTCTGAGCTTGAATCTTCACGTCTTCCCTCTGATTGCCTGTATCCTCGGGAAGTGGCAGCATATCAGAGGCGTTGGTTTGTAAAAACTCCTCATCCCCATGCATCAGAATCTTCTCCAGATGTTCTGAAGGAACTTCTGTCATTGCTACCTTATATTACAGTGCATTGTATTCCTGCTACTGCCCTGAGTGTTTACATACATATAAATCTTTCCCTAAATCTGCCAGGCTGGTAATGCTTTTCTCACTCTGTAATAAGACTCAGCAAGGTTAGGCTAAGAATTCACATAGTGAGTAGGTGGAAGACTTAAGATTTAAGTACCCGTTTGTCTGGCACTGTGCTATCTTGTCTGGGGGTCTTGATCCTGAATGACACTTCCCGGACACCACTGGTCCCTGAAAGAAGTCCTTGGAGCCATCAACGTATCATTTATCCCTCGTGAAGTTCTTTTGGTGGTAAGGACAATGAATAAATTTCTCAGGCATTGTGATCATTATACTTTATACTTTAGGGAAACTTTGTAAAGTTATTTTTTGCAGAGTAATTAATGTTATGGGCATCAAAGCCAGGATAACTGTGGGCTCACATTTCTTCTCTATCACTGACCAGTATATGACCATGAACAATTTCTTTAATCTCCTTGGGTCTTGGTTTAGTCTTATATAAAATGAGGATAATAAGATGTATTTCATGAGATGATGCATTCAGGTCAATTACTTATGCCTGCCCCAAGGAGAGTGAGGAGTAAATGCACTTTCTACGCGGTGAGCACTGTGTTCTGTTACATGTGCTGTGTTAGCTACTAACTGTCATCAGTGCTGCTACTGTTATCATTATTCTACTGGATTCTCATGATTCTTGATCAAAGTTGTTTGCTGTTTACTTTATTCAGAAGGAACTTAACTCTTACAAAGAAATACCAGTTTAGTATTTATTCAGAAGACAAGCTTATGATGCTAAACCTAAATCTTGAGTTTTTATTCCAGAGTCCATAGGTTTGCTTTTAAAAACCGTACCATTTATTGAGTTTTGACAAATATTTACACGGTTTTACACCCATAAACCTCACACTGTTTTCTAATGTGTTTTTTCTGTTTATGATTCTCTTGTGGTCTAGATGGATGCTTTCAGAGCAAATCAGTTTCCCATTTGACAATTTGTACATGCTTTGTTTTAAACTCTATTTGCAGTTCCCTCAATATAACAATATTCTTCCCACTTCCTGGGTGCCCTGTTTCCATTCACCCCCCTTTCCTGCCCCTTCCTACCATCTGAACTGCTGTTTTGGTCTCTTATGATTGAGTGTTCAGAGGGGCACGTTCCTCGTGGGTGTTACTGTTCTCTTTATAAGCCTCTCTATTGCTCGGCTGAAAGATGATTTCTTGACATGGGTTCAGTGTCAGGCTTGAATGGTATCTAAGGACTGGAGTCTTGGAAGCTCCACTCATCTCAATTAGACACTAAGTCTGGTCTTATTTTTCTGTTTTGAATGTTGTTGTACATTTTTCTCCCACTCTGTCCAGAGCCTTTTACTGTGATTCAGAGCAGAGTGGAAGAGGTGGTAGTGACGCACCATCTAGATCTTCTGGTGTCAGCCTAGTGGAATCTCTGGCTCACATGGTCCATTAGACCTTTGGACTAACTGTTGTCTTGAGGCTTTGATTTTCTTCACTCTCCTTTACTCCAGATGGAAAGAGACCAAGAGTTATATCTTAGATGGCCACTTGTACGTTTTTTAAGACCCTAGTATCCTAACTACTACTCACCAGAGTTGTTGTTATTGTTAGGTGCCATTAAGTTGACTATGACTTATCCCCACCGTCTCTGAACCCATTGTTATGGTCACTGGATCAATCTATCTTGTTGCATTTTCCTCTCGTTCTCTGACCCTCCACCTTTCCCAGCATGATGTCTCTTTCCAATGACTGTCCTCCCCTGACAACACGCCCAGAATACGTGAGCCTGAGGTTCACCATCCTTCCCTCTAAGGAGTGCCCTTGAGCACCTTAGCCCTTCTTCTAAGACAGACTTGTTTGCTTTTTTGACAGTCCATAGGATATTAAGGATTGTAGGGTTATCATAGGGTCGCTATGAGTCGTCTACGACTCGACGGCATCAAACAACAATAACAATGATGACAACCAAGAGAGAGCTGCTACGTTGGCCTAGTGGAAAGGAAGCTATACTACCAAGCCAAAGGTGGGTGATTTTCATCTGTGGCCCTCGGCCAGGTTCAAATTGTCTTCCTGTCAAACATTCTTCTAGGTGGTATAACACTGGTCTGTGCGTTGCTGTACAGAGGTAACTCGTGGTTGCTGTGATGTTGAAGACTGTGACAGGACGTGCCAATCGTGGTAATGGGTACCCATGGTGGACAGTGTTGGCTGGAGCTTCCCGACTAAATCAAGCCTGGAAGCAGGAGCGGCATCCACTTCCGAAATGGCTTGCCTCCGGAAACTCTATGTATGAACAGTGCTCAGGCTGTTCCTTCATAGGGTCGCTATGAGTCGTCTAAGACTCGACGGCATCAAACAACGACAACAGGGTTATTTTACATGGAGTGGAGGATAAGGAGCAGGCTTGACTGAGTAAGACATCAGTCAGCAAATGCTCACATCTTAAGGGACTTATTGTAGGAAACAGAATGACTTCTTTGTGACAGCACAGTCTGTCCCATTTATTAGATGTGGGCTTATACCTCCTTATTCCTACTCTTCTTTTAGCACTCACTGTCTCAAGACCACTCACAGAGAGCCCCCAGGACAGGTTAGGGTCTTTGTGATCAAACAATTAATTGTTATCTGTGTTGGTTAATGTCTGCCTTTTGTTCTCAAATGGAAACAACGTAAGGGCAGGGACCATTCATTGTTTTGTTCCTTGCTATATCCTCCCTGGAGAACCCAGTTCATTGTATTCAGTAGTTACTCAGTAAATATTTGATGAATGAATAAATCTCTGCTACCAGCATATGAAGGAAAGATCCAAAACTGAGATTATCCTGGCCTGCCTTCCACTTTAATGTGGTGCACAGTCTGGGTCCTGTGGACCCTAATATCCTGCCCTGGATATTATCTGATAAGGATTCAGTGTTGATGTGATTTCAGCCAAGGATTTGAGGTCACCCCCGCAGCTATAAACATCATTTTACAAGAAAAATGTGGTGTGCATTTCTCCTTAGGCCTTACATGTGGGACAGGCACAATTTTAGCCAGAAAACTCATGAAAGAGGATGCATTTGAGAAGGAATAACTTTTATATGGCAACTTTGTATGAGAATTCCCAAAGTATTCTCAATTCATGCTCCATTTTATTTC